TCATCTGTGCCCCACCTGCATCCTCCTCGATTCCAGGACCACTTAAAATCTTGTGTTCAGTGCTGTCTACCCTCAGGATGCAGTAGCCCTTTCCAAGACCGCTATATTCCCCAGATCTACTCTGAAATGCAGGGGCCAGAGTGGCCAGGGACAGGGGGAGGAGGGTGGGATGTGTACCTAAGTGGCTCGCCTACCACCGAAGAAAAGGGCCCTGATTTATGGTGTTGTTATTTGGAAGGCAAGTAGCTCATAGAGTTTCTGAAAATTCCTATTCTCTCCTGTGTTGTGATCCAGTTCCAGAACATTGTAGGATGCCCGAATCCTTCCATACAACCTGTATTCTCTCAAGCGCTGGCCCCTTGTCCACACCTGTGTGAAGGAGGATTACACTTTATGATGTTCCCTGTACCCAATGATGTGTGGCCTCTCGCCCCTGAGTGTGTGTAACTGATTCCACTAAGGAACAGGACCTTGGGCCTTGCTTTAGATCGCGCTTTGCTTTCCAGCACTTGGGTTCAGTACAGCTCTTGGCTGTGGTTGTGCAACAGGAACAAACTGGCTGAATCTTGGAGGCTTATTTCCTTTTTGTAATCTGCAGTTTCTTTCCTACCTCCCACCAACCTAATCTGATACTTTCTGAAAACAACCTCTTTAATTTTCCTGCAATTGAAAATCCTTTTCCTCCTGTAACTCTGCCCTACTGATCCTTCCTTGCACGCAGAGCAGCCACGACAAAGCCTGTATCCCTTCATGGGGGAGCCATGCGCCCCATTCCAGCGAACCACTCACTCACTGCCCATTCATCGGCTGAAGTCACTGCTCTTGTCTCCTCCTTGCTCAGAAACTTCTGACGTTGCCCTGCCATCATTGGAGCCCCTCTGCTTTTTCCTGTGTTAGTTTCAGTAAGTGCCCCTGTGTAACTCGCACTTTGCCAAACCAACTTCGATCTGCTGACCCTCTGGGGTCCTAACTCTGTATTTTTCTTGCAGGCACAGCTTCCGTGGACCCTGCTTCACGCTGTGCTGGGTTATTCCCCTGTGCGTTGTAGATTCTCTTCTGTCTAAATTTTCCTCCTCACTTGATGAACTCATACATGTGTCATTTCTTTGTGTCTTTCTGGCTGTGGGAATATCTGTTTTGTTTTGTTTTTTTTCCTGCTCCCAAGCAACATCCTCTCTAGGCTGCTCATTCGTTTCTTTGGTTCTCCCCCTCTGTCTTTATTCATAAATAGCTTTATTGAGCTATTCACTAATTTGGAGAATGCAATTCGATGGTTATTAGGATATTCACAGATTTGTGTGACCAGATACCTTTTCATCAATACCTCCTGAGGCAAAGTAAAACAAAAGGAAATAAAAAACTTTGCTGTGTAATTATCAGCTCCCCCAACCCCTCCTCATTTCTCAGACCACTGATCTACTTTTTGTGTCTTGAGAGTTACCTCTTCTGGGCCTAGGAAGGTACTTCCAGAAGTTGGTGGAACATGGGCATTGAGCCTCGGGGTGAGTGTGCTGGTCATGATGCCCACGTCTCACACCAGAGTACCTTGGTTGGATTCCTGGCTCTGGTGCCTGATTGCTGCTTCCTGCCGGTTCAGACCCTGGGAGGCAGCGGATGATGGCTCTGGTGCCTGAGTCTGATGCATGTGTGGGACACCTGAATTGTATTTCAGCTCTCTAGCTTGGGCCCAGCCCAGCCCCAGCTTAGGCAGGTGTTTGGATGGTGAACCAGCTGATTGGGAATTTTTATCTCTCTCATTTTCCCTTTTTGCCTCTCAAAAAATCACGGGAAAATGGAATTAAAAGATGTATTATTTTAAAGTCACAAAAGGAATGAAAAAGTAAGTATCTTGTGTCTGCTGGTTCACTCCCCAGATGGCTACAGCACTGGAGCTGGGTCAGGCTGAAGCCAGAAGTCAGGAGCTGTATCCTCTCTGGTCTCCCACATGGTGACCAGGGCCCAAGTTCTCAGACCATCTTTAACTGCCTTGCCAGGCATGTTAACAGGAAGCTGGATCAGCAACAAAACAGCGGAGACTTGAACTGGCATTCTGATATGGGATGCTGGCATTCCAAGTGGTACCTTAATTTGCTGGGCAACAACACTAGTCCCAAGATAAATTTATTTTAATGCAAAAAAGATGTGTATTGAAATCCAAGCATACAAGGAGGCTTCAAAAAGTTAATGGAAAAACTGCACATTGTATCCAGATCTTTGTCTTTTTCACTTTACTCTTCTGTGAACTTGTTGAAGTAAGCTTGTGTTGTGTATGTGCAATGTATCATATAGTATGTGGCCTTTTTTGCCAGACTCTTCCATTTAGAATGTTGTATTTAAGGTTTATCCATATTATAGCATGTGACTGTTCATTACTTTGTATGAATAATTAATATTTCATCATGTGGATACATTTATTTTACTGATCCATTTGTTAGTTGATGTCATTTGGGATTGCTTCCACTCCTTGGCTATTATGGATGATGTGGTTGTGAACATTCATGCACAGATTCTTGTATGAACATGTTGTCACTTTTCTGTATTCCTTTGTGGAGTTGCTACATGGGACAGTGACCTCATGAGTAATTTTCTTTTTTCCGTGTATAACTTTCTAAGTAACTTCCAGGCTTTTCCCCAGCTGTTATGCTATTTTATATTACCATGTGTGCGAGTTCTCATTTCTCCACATTCATACCAACACTTTCTGGACTTTTTGATGAACAGCCATCAAGTGGTATCTCATGGTGACATTTCTCTAATGGTTAATTATGTTGAGTTTTTTTCAAGTACTTATTGGGCATTAATATGTCTTCTTTGGTGAGATTTGTATTTATATCCTTTGCCCGTTTTTAAAAATTGGATTGTTTTTATTATTGAATTGTGGAAGTTCTTTCTATATTCTAGATGGAAATTCCTTATCAGATAGCTTATTTGAAGTTTTTTTTTTTCCTATTCTGTGGGTTGTCAGGTAAGTTACTTTGATGTGTAAAACTTGCAGATTTAGAGATTCAGTACATCTGTTAATTGGTTGCAAAGCTCTTGGGGTCATATGCAAGAATCCATTGCCAAAGCTAAGGTCATTAAGATTTGCCCAATGTTTTCTTCTGAGAATTTTGTTATTTTAGTTGTCACATTTCAGTGTCTGATGTGTTGTGAGTTAGTTAGTTTTTGCACATGGTGTGAGGTAGGTACCCAGCCTCATTCTTTTGCATAGGGATATCTGGTTTTTGTATTACCATTTGCTGAAGAGACTGTTTTTTCCCTGTTGAATCATTGCAGCACCCTTGTCGAGAGTCAGTTGACTGGACATGTGTGTGTTTGTGTGCTCTCTATTCCCCATTATCTGCATAAGTGTTTGGTCTTTTCCTGCTCTGTGACATTAATTAGCGATTCAATTTGTATATATCTTACGTATCAGAGAGGCTCAACTTTTATGATAGTAATCTTTAAACTCTCGTGTGAAAAAGTTATCACGGAAGTGCCAAAAGTGGGAGTCTTGCTTCTGCCCCTACTCAGCACTTTGGTAGTAGCCCAGTTTAGGTCCCCCATGTACAGAGCCATGTGTGTATACCTGTGCATATATGTAAAAATTCAAATATACATTTAAGAAAGATATATTTATTTGAATGGTTCAGTGGAAGAGCAAACAAGACAGCAAAAGAGAGAAAGAGATATCTTCCATCTACTGGGTCACCACTTACGGCTGGCCAGACTGAAGCCAGGAATCAGGAATTCCATCCCAGAAATAAACCTCTATGTTTGTGGTCAACTGATTTCAGCAAAGGTGCCAAGACAGTTGTTCATTAACTTTGCATCATTGTGCGTCTTTCTTTCTTTCTTTCTTTCTTTCTTTTCTTTTTTTTTTTTTTACAAAAAATGAAGTATAGGATTCTGTCACTGCTTATACATCAGCAATATGTCACATACATTTTTTTCATAGTGGTATATACATCATCCACCTCATTCTTTATTAGTGGTCCTATAATATTTCATGGACTTTACACCATCATTTACTTAGCCAGTTTCCATGCTATCATGTTTCCTTTTTGTTTTTTTCTATTTCTACCAGTGCCATAGTGAGCTTTTTATACATGGCTCTGTGTACCCAGGGGAGTACTCCACTCTGTTAGCTATCTGGAGATGCAATTGCTGATCGTGTCTTTTGTCTTAAAGTCATATTTAATGTCTTTCCTCAACTGTGCTTTATGATGCCTTACACATATTAGGCAATTAATAAATATTTACTGAAGCGAACTCTTAGGGGTTTTTATTCTGAATTTATCCCCAGCTTGCTATTTCATCTCAGTAAACTGTTTAATGATACCCTTATGCCTATTTCACTTCCTCTCCAATGAATGAACGTTTTGGTTACCCAGTCTTCATTAGGGGAATGAGGGTGAAATGAATCTAGCAGTGTTTTGATGATTGACTCTGTATGTGGCATTGGAGGGTACACAGAGATGAGTGAGTCCAGCCCTAGTCCTGTCACCTTCCAGAATGCCTCGGTGGGAAGGCAGCAGGTGCAGCACCTCCCAGAGAGGCTTTCAGGAAGAATCACAAAGTGATAGCTTCACTTGGATGCTCCCAGGAAAGTTCTCTGCACAGGTGGACACTGAGGTGCCCTAAAAGAAGGGGTGTGGCACAGACAGCAACGCCAATGGATGGATGGTGCGGCTTGTGGTGGTTCAGAGGGAACAACGTATCTGAACCTTGCTCAACAGGGTGCAGTGTGTGTGTCTGCGACTGGCAGCAGATGAAGCTGCAGAGCCAGTGGGGATGTGTTGTGGTAGGTTTGGAATTCCTCATGGGTGTTGGCTTTGACCTCTAAGTGCCAGTCCCTAGGAAAGGGTTTTTTTGTTTATTTGTTGTTTTGATTTTGGAAGCAGTTTGTTCAGTCAACCTGGGGGTGAGGGGGTGAATACGGGGAGCTCTTCTTCTCTAGAGGTTTCTGTGGTATAACTTGCCCCTGTCCCTCTTTTCCCATTCCTCAATCCCCCCCACAGCTGTCTGAAAATGTGGTTAACCGCATGAAGGATTCCAGCCAGCCCGCAGCAGGCCAGCAACGAGCTCCTCTTCCTTCTGAAGGCGGCACAAAATCCCCACAGAAAGGTGAGTTGGGCCACACCATCCTGGGGAGAGTCGAGGAAGAGGGTGCGAGGGACAGCAGAAGACAGTGAGCGGCTCATGTGGCTCCCCTGTGTGTCAGGGCAATGCCCCTGTGAGAGCTGGTTTCTACGCGTGGCAGGTGCGGACAGGTGCAGTGAAGGCAGCACAGGGGAGTCAGAGCTCTTGGGACCTGGGCCAGGTGTTTCAGTTTCTCCACGAGTAAAATCAGAGCAGAAGGATTTGGTTTGACAACTCAGGTAAGGAGTTGCCTTCAAGGATCCTTGAAAGAAATGTAACCACTAGAGAGCCTCAACCCTTCTAGCCAGCCCTCAAGTCAGAGAACCACAGGAATTTTGCCACTGACTTTGATACCAACCTTAGTAGCTCTAATCTTACCCTCAAGTCAGGGGGTCCTTTTCTGCTTCCTAGGAGGAGGTCTTCTTCCCTGGCCCTTTGTGGAGCTGGCACCCAAGCCAGGCTCAACGCTGACTTACTCTCTACTCTGTTGTGTCATCACAAATGAAGAAAGCTGTGCTTTTTCCCGAATAACTACTTGTAGCAAGCATAAAGAAGCAAGATCGGTTTTAGGAAAAGAGGCTATGAGGCATAAAAATAGATACTACAAAACCAAACAAAAAAAAATCCTTTGAGCTACAGCTTTTCTATGCATCCACTACTCATTTATGAGAATCTGGGTTTGTCTGTTGCCTGTAACTTGATTTTTAAAAATTGATTACCTGAAGGAGTCGTGTCATTGTAGAGCCGTGGCACAGTGGGTAATTGTACCCTGTGATGTTCAACTTGTGCACTGCCTCATGTTAGAGCTGCCTTCTTCTTCTTTTTTGTTTTTGAGATTTATTTATTTTTTATTGGAAATTCAGATATACACAGAGGAGGAGAGACAGAGAGGAAGATCTTTCGTCTGATGATTCACTCCCCAAATGACCGCAATAGCTGGTGCTGAAGCCAGGATCCAGGAACCTCTTCCAGGTCTCCCACACAGGCGCAGGGTCCCAAGGCTTTGGGCCGTTCTTAACTGCTCTCCCAGTCCACAAGCAGGGAGCTGGATGGGAAGTGGAGCTGCTGGGATTAGAACCAGTACCTATATGGGATCTCAGCGTGTTCAAGGTGAGGACTTTAGCCGCTAGGCCACGGCACCAGGCCCTAGAGCTGTCTTCTTTCCTAGTTTTCCCTATTTGGGTTATGGCATTTTAGAAGGCAGGAACTGTATCCTGTCTACTTAGCATTTCTAGAATGTTGTTCTTCATGTATATCCATGTCAAGTGGGACCTGTCTGTGGCACACACAGCTTTGGTTCAGGGGCCAGGTGTCTGCCCCAGTGGCATGGTGGTATATGATGGTGCAAACCTGCTCAAGGTTGGCCGGAGCACAGAGGAGGCAGTGGCTGATTGCTTTAGGGAGGAACTGCCTGGATTTTGAAAACTGGAATATGGTAGAAGAGCTTTTCAGGCCAGGGACTATGGAGGCAGGGCCCCAGAGGTGTCGTGCAGCCTGGCCTGTTCAGGGATCATCTCTGAATGCAAAGTGTAAGGGAAGAGAAGATATCACCATAACATTTAGGGACCAGGTCATGGAGTTTCCCTGCACAGCAGCCAGAGAGCTCTGGCTTCAGCCTCAGGCCTGGGCACACCTGCCAGCTGATGTGACTTATACTCCTTGTAGCACATCAGTAGCTGGGTTTGGACCCATCCAGACCTGAGATCATTTGGGTGTATACCAGTGAAGGGGCTGAGTGACCTTATGGAAAATCTCATGGAACTTTACCAAGAGGGCTTGCTCAGCACCCTGTCTGTAGCCACATGACAGGGAGTTTGAAGAGGGGTGTCAACTTGCCCCAGGGTATTTTAATAAACCGGATTATCTGGAGAGAGGGAAAAATGATAAGAAGAGCAAAAAATTGCCAAAATATGTTACACGTCAGTTTCAACTTGGGAAGATAAAATAAGCATTTGCTTTGATTTTGTCAAGTTTCAGCATTTTACAAAAGCAAGCCTAGTGGTTCGGCCTTCGTTATAATCAAAGGCTTTGCAGTTTGCATGATGGGAGTGAGTGCTGGGGAAGAGTCAGTTCAAGTGCACCGTCTGGAAGTTAACTGATTTTAAGATATTTTTAACTTTTAAAGCCAGTCTTTTTTCTTTTTTTTTGCTTTTATTTTTGTGATGGAACAAGGTTGGAAAATTTAAAAAGTTAAAATTAAAAAATTAAAAAGTTAATATTAAATCCATTTCTCACACCACACCTCCAAATAAATGTTAGAAGAATTAAGAGACTTAAATGTAGGAATTAAGGCCATGAAAGTATAATAAGAGATTTTCTAAGTATTACATCAAGTGAAAAAACCTTAAACAAAGAAAAGAAGTAGGAAATGTGAGATTAGAAACAGAAAACATGAATGAACGAATGTGTGCTAAACCAAGGAAGATAGAGCATTTGACAAAATACTCGTAATCTTAATAACAAAGTCTTAAAGGCCTTTAAGAAAGAGAGCTCAAAACGCACAGCTGGCCTTAAACATGACGAGATGCGCAGGCTCACTGGTAACTGAAGCTGTGCACAGTAAATAATGCATGTTAAGGGAGCAGGAGAACGGGCGGACCGTGAGTTTAATGCCTCATTCCCTACCAAGAAAAGATGATAATGTCCACCTTGCTGTCTCTCCAGTGGGGAGCATTCATACTGAGACAAAGCTGCAGGAACCGTCTGCTGGCTTTTCAGTCCATCTTGAGAGCCAGCATGTGACTCAGCGTATGGGCTGTGCTGCCTGCACAGACAGGAGCTGCAGTGTGCCACCTCAGGTGAGAAGCAGTCTGAAGGTGCCAGTCACAGGCCACTGGCTTTTGGAAGAGCTTCCCTGAAGGGTTAGTTGACAGGTGTGGGACTGGAAAAGCAAATCATTCCCACATTCTCTCTCGGTGTTGGTTCCTCAGTTATTTCTTTGTGTAGTTCTAGCACCTACTGCTTTAGAAGCCTGTGGCAGAGGTGCTGGACGTCAGGGCCATAAGAAAGCGCTGAGCTGTGGCTAGCACATGCTTTAGAAAGGATGAAGGCTGAGGGAGAGTGAGGGAGAAACCAAGCCTTCACTGTCACCAAGGGGTGAAGAGAATGAATTCAACTGACTTAGAAATCTCTAAATTCATGACGACCAGGAGGCAGACCAGATGTCATGACCTGAAGCGTGCAATAATGTGAGAGGTGAGAACAGGTTAAAATGTCAGTGGGCTTAATGTAGGGCATTTACCACATTCAGGATTAGGAACCTAGAATGAAATCTTGGGAGACATGAGCTAAAAAGCCTGGTTGGGCAGCCGTTGTCATGAAGCAACCTTGGCTTCTTCCCAATTCCAGCCTGCGTCTATGAGAGGACCTGGATTCCTCAGACTGGTTGAAATCAAGGCTGTGTTCCTCAGCTGCTTGGAGGGCACATTCCTCTGGGGACTCCCCTGTCTATTACCTGAGAGCATACTCATCCAGGAATGCATCCTTGAGCTCATTTCCCGGGGGACCCTCCTTGCTTTGTGGATTCTGGGAGCTGCTGATGGATCTTTTCTTCTCTCTCCTTTCAGAATCCAAGCCACTGAGGTCAGAAACCATTGGTGGCCAGCAGTCCTCAGGAGTAAAAGAGGATCTCAAGAGGTAAGCCTAAGAGCCAATTACCCCGTGCCTGCTGTGCCCTCCCAGGAACCCCCACGCTGGCCTGAAGCCCTAGTTGGGCTGTCTCCCATCTTTAATCTCGTCTGCATTGAAAGTCAACCCAGTGGTTAGGATGGCTCTTACACCATAGGGGTAAGAGGGAGCTGATTACTGCTGTTCTGAGCAGTTGGAGCTCTGGATTTTATGCGTGTGTGCACAGGCAGGAAAGATGTCAGACGGAGGAAGAAGGTGCAGCCCTCCCCATTCCGGGTGCAGCTTTCTGGAGGAACAGGCTCCAGGATGTTGGCGACATCCCGTCGGCACAGATCCCAAAGTCAAGCCACACTCTGAATCAGGACCTGTTTCCTGTCCCATGCAGATCCATAAAAAAGTGGTTCAGGCACAGAAGGCTCTGTGGAGCACAAGATGCTAACCTGATTCTGCAACTTCAGAGTTATGTGACCTTGAAAAATCTCTGTATCCGAGAAGGACCGAGAGAACTGCTTCTTTAGTTGGGACACTGTCACGATTACTCATGTTAGTGCTGTGTAAGGATCGTACCTCATACCACACTCTTTCAATACCCTTCAAGCAGCGGGGCAGAGGACTTACTGAGTTACTGGAGAATCCAGTGTCAGCCAGGATTAAAGCGTTACCCGTCCAGAAAATCAGCCATGCTGGGGCTGTTCACTTGAGACATGCATTAAAAGTCACAGAGTGATAAGCGTTTGTCCTATAGGAGTAACTAACCTCAGTTTTTCCCATTATCCTTTTTCAGATATTTTTAAGCCTTCAAAAATCGTGTTAATATATGCTAGTGAAAGATTTAGAAAATATGCAAAATGAAAAACTTCGAAAGACTCACCATCTCAACACAAAAACCACTGTTAATGTCTTTTCCTGAGTTTAGGCTTATTATTATTTTTTAAAGTCATAAATAATTTTCTGTTTTGCTATTTTCATGTAATGTTATAATTATTTCCCATTAGATATACCCTTGATTTTCAATTTTTAGTTTCAACCAACAGACAGATCAAATAATGTATTTTCTAATGGCAATATAATATACCATTTGAGGATTGTGCCATATTTTAACTTGACCTTGATTGTTAGACATTTGAGTTATTTGTGTTTTTTTTAATATAAATAGTACTGCTAAGAGCATCTTAGTACTAATAACATTTTTCTCTATATAACATTAGAGAGAATGACAGAAATAGGCAGAATGCCCAGAAATCAGTCAGAGGGTAGGAGCATACTCAGATTGAAGAGCTCCCAAATGGAGGCCAGGGCAAACCAGAGCTTCCTAACTGCCTGCCCCTTGGAGCGAGTGAGACACACAGGATGGAGTCCTTGTCCCACAGGTCTCTCCATGGGCATGTGGCTCCCAGTTTTTTGCCTGATAGTCATGTCTCTGTTCCTGAGCTGTGCTGTCCTGGATGAAGGTATCATACTCCCTTTTGCCTTAGGTCTGTCGCTGATATCCGACCTCGAAAGCGCCAATGAGGCAAGGGAGTGTGTAGTTTTACAGCACCCTTGCCTTTCCTGGCCGGCCAGTGGCTGGCCACGGAGCTCCGCTGGCTTGCATGTTCCAGTCCTGCTTGGCCATCTGAAATAAGCAAATGAGCATACACACTTTTTCTTGGCTATGTTCTGCCAGTCATGCCACCGACATCACCTTTTCCCTGGCTCTCTCTTTTTCGGAACAGGTTCAAGCAGGAGCAGGCAACAATCCAGGATGAGTTATTCCAGGTGGCAAAGAGGGAGAGAGAGGCAGCCATGAAGCATTCGAAGGTGTTCCTGCCTCAAGGAACAGGACATACTGACCAAGAGAAGCAGAAGTCTGCCCAGCTGGTGAGTCCCCACTGGGGAGTAAGAGGCAGCTCAGGCCCTGCTGAGACCAGCTCTGGTGGCTCCGGTTGCCTCACTCAGCCTCACCTCTGTGGTCAGGAGACCTCTTTAGGAAGCAGGGTCTTGGGTTCTTGTCATGCTGGCTCTGTCACGTATGCACACTTCTGACTTTGGTGTGTCTTCTAAGTGTTGGTGGCTCTCAGAGCTGCACAATAAGGGACTCGAACATCCACAGCCTTATCATTCGTGGCTCTGAAACATCAACAGGAATAAGGACTGTGAGGGTACACATGCCAGGAGGGAGGGAGACAGGTGGTCTAGGGGCTGGGACTGTACAGTGTATGGCATGGGAAGCATCGTTTGTGGTTGGATAGCCTGGGTGCCAATCCTGGCTTGCTCGCTACTTACAGGCATGGGTGGGTGTGCTGTCTGTGAGGCTTGGTTAAGGATCTTGATGTTAATATACAGGATTGCCCAGAGAACCAGAGGAGATAATATCAGTCAGGAATTAGCGCATGCCTAGAAGATCATGAATGTGTGATATCATTGGTGTCATTATTGTTAATGCAGTTAGCTGACTAGAAGCTGGTAGGATTCTTTCTGCTTAAGTGCAGTTTATTCCACAACCTGTAAAATCTAGAAGTATGCCACCATCTACCAGTTCGGTGGCTCACTAGTATCATAAGGGACCCAGTGCTTCTCCTCCTTCCACACTGTCAGCTTTGGTGTGCCAGCATATGTGCTGGCTGGCAGTGCCCCAAGTTAGTGATGAATGCTGCCACCCCACAGGTTAGATGCAGATGGCCGACACAGCAAAGAGAGGCTCTGTCGGTCCATGTGTCTGTCAGTGAGGACAGCTTTCCCAGAAGCCCACAAAATGCTTCTGCTTACATCACACTGGCCTGAATCACACCATGTGCCTGTGGCTAAGCCGGTCCATGGCAGAGGGAATAGGGATGGCTTCACGACTGCAACTGGGGCTCTTCTAGTCACACCTGGGTCACATCCAGACAGAATTAGGACTGACAGCCAGGAAAGAGGAGGAGAGGAGAAGGACTAGCTCTTAGTGACATCTGATGACACCTGCTTCAGAGGCCATGGGCTCTGAGTCTAGGAGCAACTTTGCTCTGTGTTAAGGTGGGTAACCTGGTGCTCACAGAACTCCGTAGAAGGGAGTTGAAGATGACGTGAGCTCACAACTCAGGGTGGTGCCCTCCCGGGAAAGGAAGGCAGACATACTGGCTGCATCCAAGCCCTGACTTACTAATTTGATGACTACACAAATGTTCCAGGAATTGATGCAGTGGGGTACATAACAAATTCCACTTTAACTAGGTCCTCTGAGAAATCTGAACAGTGGAGGATCCTAACCCTCAGGAAATGTTCTGTCTAGCGAGGCAGACAGACTCAAAAGCAGAGCTTTAAAAGAGGCTGAATTGGTTACGCTGAAGCGTCATGTAGAGGAACAGAGGCTATGACTTGGGGATGCAGGGGGAATGATGTGAGCTGCCGGTGGAGTGGAGAGGGTGTCTGACCTCAGTCCCCCAAGGTTGAGAGCAGCCAGGCAGAGGGGTGAGCACCAATAGGGTACAGTGAGAGAAGAGTTGAGGTCTGAAGCCAAAGTGTGGATGGCTTAGGATGCCATGGAGAGTTACCCCGCAGGGATCCTGAAATAGTGGATGATTCCTAGAACTTGTGAGGATGGCCATGATCCCTCTGATTTGTGCTTCCAGAACCCTGGGGCTTCCTGGTGAGGAGTCTGTTGATGCACCAAGAAACAAGCCAAGACACGGTCTCAGAGGTTCTTGCAGTCAGTCTCTGAGGGGCAGGCAGGTGTCACTTCCGCATGGGCAGCCTGTCTGACCAAGTGAAAAGGGACCCTCATCCTGGAGATGAAGGGTTAATCAGCAGGAGCCACTGGCCACCTGGGACAGTCATCTAGAAATGGAAAAATCATGGCAGACAGGTGTGGAATCTCTTCATTCTCACCTGGAATGTGTTAATTACAGTGCAGGGGAATTCACAGCTTCCCTTTTCCCACCTGCAAAGGGGAAGGTTGGACTCTGCTGCCTCAGGACCATCCCTTGGGAGAAGCGTGTAGGTTTTTGGCTTGAATGGTGATTGAGAATGAAGGAGGTACGTCCTCTCCTGACTTTCCCCAGATGTCAGGATGGACAGCGTCCTTTTCTGAGCTGCAGTTTCCAGGGAGTAGAGAAAGCAAGTTGCTTCCTCCAATTTAAAAATACTTTACTTTTGTGTATGTTCTCATGTTTTTGGACTTCTCAGCATCCATTTCTTAGTGCTGTGGTATCTGGTTTCCTTTTGGGAGCTCTCCTGTTTCCTGCCTTATGTAGTCTCAGTGGGGTTGTAATTTCAGTAACCATACCCAGATTTCTGTATGGAAACCAGAATTGGGCATAGCTCCCAAGTCTAGCCAGGCAAACTGTCTCCCCAGGGACTTCAGGTTTTCCCTGAGTTAGGGGAAGGGTGAGAGGCTTGGCTGGGCATCCCCCAGTGAAGGCCCTCTGTGCACAGAGATTGTCTTCTGCTGCCTCCTGTACCTCCTGTGTGGTGTTTTTGCCTTCTTGAAGGCTAGATCATCTGTTGCTAAGCTGCCAGTCAACCGTCCTTTGCTTAAGTTATTCAGAGTTGGTTTCTGTTGTTTGGTCCTGCAGGAGCTGCAGTAGGAGGTGATTTTGAAGGCAGAGAGCCATGTTTAGTACTCACCACAAATGGAGAGGGGGAGTGAGACACCGCTTGGTACATTGGCAGGAACACAGGCAGTCATGGTATGGTTGGCAGGTGCAAAGTAGAGACAATTCCAAAGCTGCACTTTGGAAGAATTTTTTAAAAGACTTATTCGAAAGACAGAATAACAGGGAGAGACAGAGAAAAATTTTCTGTCTACTGGTTCTCTCCCCAAATGGCCACAGCAGTCAGGACTGAGCCAAATTAAAGTCAGGGGTGAAGTGACAGGAGCCCAAACTCTTAGGCCCCTCTCTTCTGCCTTCTTAGGTTTGTTAGTAGGAAGCTGGATCCCAAAACAGCACTCAGATAAGGGATGCTGGCATCACCAGTGGCCGCTTGGCACACTGTGCCAGGATGCTGGCTCACTTTGCAGGATTTAAATAAGAGGAGAAAGAGAGAGAGAAGGACCTGAACAAAAACAGGGAGATATTCTTTGCTTATCCAAGTCTCCTACATGCCAGGACTGAAAGATGCAGTTAGCTGGCTTCCTGCTGGGCAGAGGTCTAGAGGCGTTTGGATCACAGCACATCCTCCTGGCTGGTAGGAGGGACAGGTTGGATCTTGGGTGGACCTTGAGTATTTGCTGGCAGAAGGAGCCATGAGCCAGGACCGCCAAGACCCACACTCTTAAACCTTTGGTCTCCTTTGGAGGACCTCCCCTTGACTGCACTGAGTGTAGTTTGACATTTAATGTGCTCTTCTTCCCTTTCTGTTTGCCTCTGACTTTTACAATATTGATTTTTAAATCCTCTTCTGCATGAGGGAATGATTTAGCTCATTATTGGGAAAAGTTCATAAAACTAGTGATGAGGAAAGGTAATAATTTTTATAACCTACTTCTGGTGACAAAAGTGTTACAATTTTCTATCCAGTTGTAATAGTGACTCCAAACTCGTGTGTGGGTGCGACCATTTTTTGTCCCTTAAGGGTAAAGATGCCATTCTGCTCTGGATGAGGGCCATTTTATGTTACGTTATGTTACGGGCAAGGCAGACCTACAGACAAAAGCGGATACAGAGAGGAAGATATTCCATCTGCTGGTTCACTCCCCAAGTGGCCACAGTGGCTGAAGCTGAGCTGGTCCAAAGCCAGGAGCCAGGAGCTTCTTTTAGGTCTCCCACGCAGCTTCAGGGTCCCAAGGTCTCCAGCCCTCCTCTACTGCTTTCCCAGGCCTCATGCAGAGAGCTGGATGGAAAGTAGAATGGCTGGGATATGAAACAGTGCCCATATGGGATCCTGGCAGATACAAGGAATTTAGTCACTAGACTGTTGCACTGGGCCCAGGAGAATGAAACATTCTCAAAATTCACAATATTGGGTTGAAAATATCATGTTAGCAGGACAGGAAGATCTCAGAGGAGACTGCACCATCTGACTTCTGATGGAGTGGGAAATGCTTATAAAAGAAGTGATGTGTGGGGCTGGTATGGTGGTACAACAGATTAAGCTGCAATGCCAGTATCCCCTAGCAGAGTGGCAATTAGCATGCCAGCTACTCTGTCTCCAGTTCAGCTTCCTGCAAATGTACTTAGGAAACTAGTGGCTTCCAAGGGCTTAGACTCCCGCTACCCATGTTAGAGACCAGGATGGAGTTCCTGGCTTTTGGCAATAGTCTGGTGAAGTTCTGGCTATGATGGCCATTTAGGGAGTGAACCAGCACATGGGAAATCTGTCACTCTGCTTAGCACATTAGCCAATCAAGCTTCCTTTCCCCTACCCCATGCCTCTTCTCTCTCTTTCTCTTTCTTTGATTTTTAGTGATATGTAAATTGAATCCTGAAGCATGAATTGAAGTTGACTGAGTAAATAGTAAGAAAATGAAAAAGTTGTTACAAAGGACAACCAAGAATGAAGGCCGTATGTTGGAGGAGGTTGTGGCATGTAGCTGGACACAGAGTGGTGGTTGTGGCGAACTGGGAGGCCAGATGGATCAATTTGGGTATGGGTGTGGAATATCTGGAAGTCCAATGGGAAGTGATTTTCTTACTCTTGAAGACACCAAGAAGGGGAGAAAGCCCCTCTTTTCCTGTCACTAGGAAAAGTGCATTGGCATAATAGAAATTTGGGGTCAGATTGTTCCACTGAAGGGAGTGTCGTAAGTGGATGAGTGGATCTGTCTGAGGATGTGCCTGGTCTAACCCAAGGGCTCACACTGCAGAGGTGGCTGTCCAGCTCGCCACCTGGAAGAGGACTTTTGAGTATTCTTCCATTTTTTTTTTGTTGTTCAGCTACTTCAAGAAGCTGCCACTTTAGCG